TTAGTTTGCAAATGTTTTAGTGGCATTTCCACTTCTTCCTCCTCTGCTTCTCCAATTCTCGTAGTTCTTCATTTGGTCCTTGTCTCGGTCATCAAAGAACTCCGTGAAGTCCTGCTCCTGCAGTTCTAGCTCCAGTTTCTCACTCATGGAGATTAAATTATCAACAACAACCTCCTGCTCCTTCTGAATATTTTCAAACCCTGTGAAATCATTAACAACCTGAGGGCAGAGCTTTTTCCACACGGCATTCATACAGGTGGTTGTAACTTCCCACCAGGAGGCATTAATGTTTATTATGGCATTGTAGATGTTATATGACTTCCAAAATTCACTCAGAGTCATATCAGTCTCGTCTGTTACCTTCAGTGCCTGGCGGAAAGTGTGCCGTAGATATTTTTTGAATGTTGCAATGACTCCTTGGTCCATAGGTTGAATAAGTGAGGTTGTGTTGAGTGGCAGATAGACAACCTTGACATTAGGGTGAAAGTCATCTAGGTAAGGTGGGTGGCTAGGGGCATTATTTAGCACCAGGAGGACATTGAAGGAAATGGAGTTGATCCGACAATACTTCTCCACCTCATAGATAAATTGCTTGTAAAACTAGTCCTGAAAAATCGCCTGTGTGACCCAAGCTTTAGGGTTACTCTTCCACACAACTGGAAGAGATGACTTGGCAATGTTTTTCAGGGCTCGTGGGTTTTCCGCGGTGTACACCAGTAGGGGTTTTAATTTTAAATCATCACTGGCATTACCCCTGAGCAGTAGCATCAGTCTGTCCTTAGCAGCTTTGAAGCCAGGCATCGTCTTCTCCGTACTGATGTAGGTTCGGTCAGGCATCCTTTTCCAGTAGAGGCCAGTTTCATCCATGTTGAATATCTGTTGTGGTGTGTAGCCTCCCTGGTGGATAACTTCTGCCAGTTTTCCTGGGAATTCCTCAGCTGCCCTAATATCTGCACTCGCCGCCTCACCAGACACCTTCACGTTATGCAAGTTATTGCGCGCCCTGAAGCGGTTAAACCATCCATGACTTGCAGTGAATGTTACGTCCTCACCATACTTAGCCTTCAGTTCATTGAATAGACTCAGGGCCTTCTCTTGAATAATCATAAGGCATAGACGTTCCGTTTTTGGATGCAGTCCTGGAACCAGACGCCGAGATGTTTTTGCATCTCCTCAGTCGTTTTCCCTCTCTTTTTCGATATGATGGTTGATTGCATGGGCACTCCAGATTTCATATGTTCCTCTATTTTTTCTTTGTTCTTAATAATTGTGCCTACAGTTGACCGATTCATCTTAAATTTTCGTGCCACATCAGACATTTTTTCACCTTCCTCAACCTGCTTTATGATGTCCATTTTCATCTCAAAAGTTATAGCCTGACGTTTATTGGCACTTCCACTGACTTCACCGCTCATCTTTTTCTTTACGCCCATTTTTGATGGACTGATGTACAGGTAAAGTGAATTATGACACAAAAATTGTCGGTACACGAAGACATAGTGAAGAGATATCTTCATGTTTATGGGGGAGGCCAGGCGAGTGATGCGCACAGCTGAGTGAGCGCGGCAGCGTCACGGCGTGGCAGACTCGTGAACTATATTCGTGCCCGGGAAATTTGAAGTTTGCTAGCATTTTTTATTTCTTTATTTTTATTATTATTTTTTTTATTCGCGAAGCAGAGCCTCGCCCGGGCTATGCCTATTTGGGGAGCCCGGTTTTGCTAGCATCTTTCAAACAATTTTTTTTGACTTTTGGACTAAAAAGTTTGTTTGTACGTATGGAATGAACGTAAGTAGAATGTTCTTAAGTAGGGGACTATTTGTACGCTATTTGGAATGTTAGTCCTCCACAATACTTATATATGCAAAATATATATGTATACTGTATATATATAAATTGATAGATATATAAATATAGATAAATAGGTCGGTAAAAATATACAAAAGGAGATAGAGAATAAATTAGTCCCTCTCTTTAAAAAACGAAGAAAACTAATCATCACATGGATGGGGCGGAAACCACATAAAGAGGTTGAGAGTGAAATGTCCGACGAGGAAGCAGAGCAGGAAGGAGGCCTGAAATAAATAACTTGAAAGCGGCAGTTGAGAATGTATACTGAGTGGCCATCACTCTCGGCGATGTTGGGCGGGGTATTAGGGAGAATTTATGGGTATTATCGTTGCTGTTTTCTTTTTTTTCTCTTTTTTTTTAAGATGGTTACGTGGCTCTTTCATATATCCTCTCTCTCTCTCTCTCTCTGTCTGCCTCTGTCTCTCTCTCTCTTTGCTATGAAAAAAAAAAAAAATCCTTATAAGACCTTGTTCGTGAAGCCAATTTCCTGCATTATTACCATGCAGGGATCATGACTGCTTCTTCAGCTCGAGCAAAGCCTTACTTACGGGGAGATAGATCGTGCGGAAGAGGCGAGGCAGGGAAGGAGAGGAGGCCACAGACTGAAGAAGGGAGGGGTGGGGGTGGGGGGTGGAGATGCCGGGATACTTGAGAGCGTTGGCCGGGGGGTGCCATTCGCCAATAGACAGTAGGGGTGGGGTGAGTTTTTGTGGTATTAAGTAATATTATTTTCATCATCGGTACTACACTCCATTATTATTATCATCAGAATTGCCATAATGGGTTTTACTCCGTTGCTGTTACCTACAATTACTATTAGAAGTAGGAATATCATTGTTATCTGTCTCTCTCTTTCTCTCCCTATCTCTGATAGACCACTAAAACACTAAAACTAGATGCAGCTTCACAAAAAACACAAAAACAAAAAAACAACAACAACAAAAAAACAAGGATACTCACTCTAAGGAGATCACCTTCATAGATGCAAAATACAAAATCTATGTTATAACTGCAACAATAATCATAAATCGTCTCACCCACACCCCCCACAACCGACATCACTCAGTGTAATGGCCACTTAACCTTATCCTGAACCGCTGCTTGCAAGTAATTCGTCTGTATATTTCCGTGCCTCCTTCCGGCCTTGCTTCCTCGCAAAATAGTTCGCCTTTGCATTCCACCGGTTGGCATTTAACACCCTTAAAGAAATTGCAACTTTTTTTTACCCTTTTCTTTCTTTCTTTTTCTCTCGCTTTCTTTCATTAATTTAGTCCTCTCTCTATTAATACACTTTTCATTTTCTCTTTCATTTGTTATCTCTTTCCGCTCTTTCGCTGTCTACAAGAATGTGTTCTAAGTGACCTAATATCCAAACTTTGATATTATCATAGTGTCAAATAATCATTGAAATAATATGTATATATATGTATGTATGCATATATATATATATATATATATATATATATATATATATATATATATATATATATATATATATATATTTATATATTTATATATATTACAAGGTATTTCAAAATACTTATTTACGTTCAGCAGAGATTATGGTCTGGTATTCACTCAAAATTCCTTCACCCATTTTCTTACTCTATGAAGCATTTTCTACTTAGTTTTAAGTTACGGGAATTTAATTGTATTCGGCGCCTTTGTCCTTTGACCCAGGCGCCGAGATGGAGCCTAGAACTTAGGTTGAAAGACTTTGCTTAAAGCCATGGTCACACTGACACCTTTTATCTGCAACCGTCGCCGATACCAGGAACACCGTATCACCACAACTACTGTACGCTGACGTTATCGGTTACACTACACACACTGCTATAAGCAATGAGGGCTACTTGTATGCTCAATTACCCGTTACAAGACCGCCTTAAGATAAAGCAAAACGACCAATACAGCCTTATAGGACACTGAAATGACACTCGCTGCCATCTGAAATGTACTGGAGCAATCAGGGTTGAATAGCGTGCTGGCCGTGACTCCAGAGATTGTTTCAACGAGGGCCAACACACCACGGTCACATATCCTGGCGAAATAAGGCTTGAATACCTACCCTGGAGATTTAATGTCACTAAGAAAAGAAAAGAGGTAAACAAGTCAAGGTCAGTGGCCCTGTCTTACCAAATATATTTGAATTGTTGATCTTTGCTAGTGCAACCAGCCTAACGTTCGCGGTGGTCGTTTGATGCTGCCTATAAATACATGTGTGTGTGTGTGTGTGTGTGTGTGTGTATTGAGAGAGACAAGCGTTCTATCGTGTTTCAAAATATATGCCATTTCCCGGAACTCCCTCCGTCCTTAAACGCATCTCGCATAAGCCCCCAAGCCCCAAGTCGGGAATGTAACCAATACAGACCACCTAGATTATCAATAGTTCCAGATAGGGGTTCTCAACCTGGGGGGCCAAGGAGCAATGAGAAATTCATGTGTTCGAATTTACTTGAAATTCTTCTTACCTACAGTACCTACATATAATCATTTATAACTTACCAATAAATTGGGTTTTTACTATCAAGTGTTTTTGTCATACAGGCACTGACGTTATTACACTATTCATAGCTAGTAATACTGAATCTGTGAAGATGACAAGTCACTGAACAGAACAATTATAGTTAGGCCTAGCTTATTTTGAATCTCTTGAAAATACTCCACAAGACAAAGCAAACCAGCAAGAGGCCACTATGCAAGCGAAATATGGATCTGTTTTGCTTCACTATTGCCTGCGAGTTTCATATGTGCTTCTCTCTCCTGGAATGTTTGCAGGTTTGGCAATATTGAAAAGATAAAGGTCAGAATGGGTGTTATTTGTCTTCCTCTCTTTTCATTTCATTCAGCTTAGTTTTTTATTCTTCTTTTCTTGCTTTATTGCTGTTGCTACTATCATTGTGATTGTCCCTGATGCTGTTGTGTTTGCTGCAATCGTTATTATTATAAGCAGCAGTTGTAGTAGCAATTGCAGTGTTATTATTATGTGTGTTCTTTGGCTCTGCTGTTGTAGAAATTTAATTCACACAAATGTATATTTAGGACTGACGTTTTTCATAAATGTATGCACACTAATGTGTGCTTACATTTACTTTTAACAATCTGATGTCTTGCAGAACTTTCATCTGGTTTTACTACTTAATACCTTATAAAAAGTGTTCCAATTACGTTTTGAAAAAGAAAAAAAAAATGCATGTGTGTATATATATATATATACATGAATATGTGGTTGCATATTTCGGATCAATTTAAACACAAAATTTGGAAAGTATATTATCTATCAACGAATTGTTTATCATCTAATGCATCTAATGGAAAGAACAGTAACCATCGTTTAGTTTTCTGCACAAGACAAGAAATCTGGTCTAACTATAAACTCTCTAAGCAAACCTTTGATTAGCTGTTTATCTTATCATCATCTTTCTCTTTTCTTCTCTGTCTCTGTTACTTTTTCTTTCTCTTTAGAAGTGTGGGAATTTCTTGCCTGAGATTAAAACTACAACAACATGCGTACAAAGGTTGACTGAGACATCCACTGGCATACCAAAGTTGGTAATTTAAAAAAGAATACTATCAACAGAATACTCCTTTTCAACATTATGATTTTAATATATCTATTTTATGGAGAATATTCCTCTCAGAAATTTCCCGAATGATTTAGCATATCTATTATAACAATATAGTCTATCAAACAGGATGTGTAAATAAAGTACGCAGTAACTTTAAATATATACACAAGACCATAATCACCATTAACCGGGCTCCCCAAATAGGCATACCCCGGGCGAGGCTCTGCTTCGCGAATCTAAGAAAAATAATATTAATCACCATTCGTCTATTTAATATTAATATTAGTGCAAATGCATTTTATAGCGGTGAAATCATTCATCACCATATATACATATAAATATATAATTATTTTTACAAAACAAATGTAAACTTAGTGTAGATTAAAGCCTATGTCACGTCCTCTTCCATTGACGCAAAATCGAGGCGACGAAACAATCGGAAGGCATTCTAGCGGATGACGTAAGCGAGGGAAATTAAAGGAGTCAATGGGAATTGCACTTGGCCGTCAAGTGACAATTCTGCGTGTGCAACCACGTGACTAAAAACCATGACGTAGCTGACCGCCGCCATGCTGGGTGATATACAAGCATTCAAAATGGCTAGTCGTTCAAGCAATAGTGTTACACCTCTTTTTCGTCTTTTTCGGCGTATTACTCCACTTTAGAATTCTCTGCTAAGGCAAGATT